AGCGGCGGCTAACTAACGAGCCTTATTTTTTTGGCCGAGCTTTTGCTCAACTTAGCTCGAGCTCAAAAAAGCTCGAACCTATTTTGCTCGAGTCGAGCCCGAATTTTGAATTTCAACTCATGGCTCAGCTCGTTAACATGGCTAACCATTGGTATCCGAAAAGTATTTTTAATTTGATTTCCACACTTTCTAAATAGTGTAACACACTTATGAGGTCAAACGTACTAGATTGACTAATTTAATTTTAATTTTATGTGGTGTCAGATAATAGTTTTCATTCTCAGTAAAATTAGTATATATGGTAGCTCTATTTATATTTCTATCTATCCTAAACAAAGACATGGACAATAAATTCTTACTCGTGTTTTGTCACTTTGTTCGTCACATTTTTATATTTGTGTCACTTTTCTTGATTTTCTGTTACTTTTTTTAAATTTATGTCACTTTTCTAAGTGTGTGAAACTTTTTTTTTTTTTTTTTAGTGTTTGCTACTTGTTTGAATATTTTTCAAAACTGATTCAATTTTATTCATATACCTACAAAAAGATTATAAAGAAATTGTATGAGACTTTTTTTTTGAAAAAATGACAAAGTATGTCACTTTTAATTTCCAGTAACTCATGAAAAAACACAAATAGATAGTAAAAAAATAACTAATCAAGATGAGAGTGAATTGGTTTTGAAAAACGTTATTGAAAAACTAATTCAAATTCAAGCAAATAGGAATGATTAAATCAATCAAACAAAATGCACAAATACGAAAGCAACAAGTAAAAGGAAAGAAAAAGTTCAAACGATTTAATTGTGGAGGTTCGATCCAAAGCAATGATATACATCTTCCGTTACTAAGCTCTTCGTCACGAGCAGTACATTTTTGCTATATTGATTTACTTATGGTATAATCCAAACCCTTAGAAAGTTTTATGTGACTTACAAACAAGGGACACTGATCCTTATACAACATTGAGTTTTACATGGCTTCAATACGATCCACATATTTAGAATATTTTTACAATTTGAACATCTCTCTTAATAAATGATACAAATGAATTTAATTGTAAGAGAGACTAACACTTAAAAGAATTGTAATAAATGAAACTCAAGTGTTAGAAGAGAAAATCTTGATGAAAAAAATTATTTTCAAAAGTTGATTCAATCAATCTAAAATTTTCAAAGTATATGTTTAATAAATTAAATAAGATATATGCTCAAAGAGTTTTGCTCAAGAATTTCTCGATTTAATGCTCTTAAAGAATGACATGGTTAATGAAAAGAGTGAGAATATTTATAGAGTTAAAAAAGCAAAACTTTTTGAAACTTTGAAAAAGTCTTGGTTGACCACCTTATGTTCGGAAGATTAATATAGCCGTTGTTCAAGAAAAAATCAGCATGATCAATTGTTGGACTCTTGGACCTTTTCGGTCGACTGCTACTTCCGGCCAGTCGACCGCTATTTCCGGCCAATCGACCGCTGTCGGGTCAACTGTCCTGACAGATTTGGCAAATTTTTAAGTTTTGGCCTCGTTTGATTTGTTTCAAACATTTTAACAAATGTAGACTTTTGGAAAGTGTTTTAACTAATTTTCAAGATAAATAATGTTTTTAAAATATGATTTAAATTCAAACATCAGTTTGAAAATCAATTCTACTTATGATGAAAACATTTTGAGCTTGTTTGGGAGGAATTAAAATCAGATTAAAATTGAAAATATAGCAGTTGGAGTTGACTTTTATTAAACGAGTGGGACCCAATAACGACTATATTTTCAATTTTAATTGGATTTTAATTCTTCCCAAACAAGCTCTTTATCAAAATAACTTTTATTTCACAAAATAGCTTTTAATGCATAAAATTGTTTTTGAGCTTAAAACATTCATTGCTAAATAACATGGTATTAGTACATTTACATTTGATCTAAAAAGACCTAGTTCTTGATATTTGTTTAGCTCTTTAGGCTTTTGTTTTGAAGGATCTTTTCTTAAATGTTTGGAAGACTTTGATTTCGATCTTAGTCTTCTTCGTGAATCCGATTTATGATGATAGCTTTTGATCTTTTCACAATCATCGATCATTTTTCATTATATGCTTTGAAAAATTATAACACTTAAATTCAATTTGTTAATAAACATGATTAACTTATTTGTTATAATCAAAACTTTAAAGTAATATAATTAATCATATGTCAACACATATAAAGTGTTACATCATATGACTTTTTAATATAAAATAAGGTTTGAATTTGTATATTTAAATTTTCAAAAATGCACATGTATGCATCTAGTTAATTGCTTCAAGTGGATACCGTGACTTTTTTTTTTTAGAGAAATGTCACTTTTTCACATTCTCATTTTCGCAAACACCTTGCATGCGCCAGTTGAATTGATTAAAAGTTAATTTTACGTATGTATTAACGTAAAATAAGGTTTGAATATGTATGCGTCTAGTTAATTTTCAAAAAATATACACGTATGCATCTAGTTAATTGCTCTAACGAGAAACTGTGACTTTTTTTTAGAGAAAAGTAACAGAATGTCATTTTTTCACATTCTCATTTTTGTAAACACGTTGTATGTATCAATTAAATTAATTCAAAATTAATTTTTAGTATGTATTAACGTAGAACAAGATTTGAATTTTATAATTTAAATTTTCAAAAACACATTCATATACATCTAATTAATTGCTCAAATAAGATACTGTGACTTTTTTAAAGAAGCGTAGCAGAATGTCACTTTTTCACATTCTCATTTTTGCAAACAAGGGCAAGCTTCAATTGAATTGATTCAAAATTAATTTCTCATATGTATTAACGTAAAACAATGTTTGAATTCGTATGTTTAAATTTCCAAAAATACACACATTTGCATCTAGTTAATTGTTCAAATGAGATACTGTGACTTTTTTTAGAATGACACTTTTTCAATTCAAAAGTGACAGAATGCATACATATTGCATACATCAATTGAATTAATTTAAAGTTAATTTATCATATGTGTTAACTTAAAACAAAGTTTGAATTCGTATATTAAAATTTTCAAAGAGACACACACATGCATCTAGTTAATTGCTCAAATGAGATACTGTGACTTTTTTAGAATGACACCTTTTCAATTCAAAAGTGACAGAATTGCCACTTTTGCATCCATATTACATACATCAATTGAATTAATTTATCATATGTGTTAACGTAAAATAATGTTTGAATTCGTATGTTTAAATTTTCAAAAATACACACGTATGCATTTAGTTAATTGCTCAAATAGTTCTCATTTTCGCAAAAACATTGCATGTATTAATTGAATTAATTCAAAATTAATTTTTCGTATGTATTAACCCAATGTATTTTCTCTCAATATCGACAATGCTATTTTCAAATATTTTTTCAGTCATAATATCAAAAACATCAAAAAAGAAACTTCATAAATGTCAATTATTTATATTAAAGGTTCAAACTAATCACGAAATTCACAGGAAAGTGACACACAATGCACTAAAATGGTTAGAATTTTTAAGTGGGAGTTTGTTCAGGTCGAAATTGCTAATTACGATTGGTACTTTCACAATCTATGTAAAGATAGCATTAAATAATCTTAAAATGATAGAATTGGGATACTGATTACACAAAAAATCCAAAACATCAAAACCTGTAATTTTTGTTTGGGTATTTCCTAATTTGGGGAAGAGAATTTTAAAGAATTGTAGTTGAATCAACCATTGATCTTGTTTATGCTTGATTTGTGAAAGATTTCCTATTTTTCCTTTCGACTTTCCTTTGATTTTTCAAGCTTCGAGTGCTGAATTTTGACAAACTGCCATGTGTTTTGTTTGTGAGTAAAAAATGATTAATGCTATTCATTCCCACTGGAGTTGAACCCCAATCTATGTGGTAATTACACGATATTAAATGATGATTCATTTAAATACAAAGTCACATGACTCATTTAATTGAGTTTATTATTTAATTCCATGTAATTGCCAATAGATTGGAGCTCAACCCCAGTGGGGATGAATAGCTTTATTCGTAAAAAATACGTCCAACTTTAACTATTTGCCATTTAATCCAAGTTTATCATTTTTTTTTTCAAAACTACCCAAAATATAAGGTATTTGTGTAAGTACTCCATGTTTAAATCCTTGGAGCTCACAAATTTACATATGTTCATACTTTGAAAAGATTAGGCTGTGGTTTATTAGGCAAATAACGGCAGCAATCGTCTAGCAATAGGAAATGGAGAGGGAATAGAGACAAGGGTTTCTCGCCCTCTAGCAACCCAATTTTTTTCCTTCTTATTTTGGTGCTGTGAACACAAACTATGTGTGGAATATCTTCGTACCCATATTCGAAGTTAAATTGAATATTTTAAAAGCATACTTCAATTCTGTTGAGTTTTATATGTAGCTCTTCTAGTCTGAATTCCAACACTTAAACTCGAGAGTACTCCAGTCAATCTACTATTCTTCTTCTAACTCATCTTCTATGTCATTGGATACAAAATGATGTATGTATTGTGACTTGTGAGTTTCTACTTTCTAATTTTATATTTATTAAGTCTTTCTTATATTTAATTAGTTTATTTAGCCTTAAAAAAACAATATTAATGGGATTTTTAATTTGGAATATTCAAGGCACGAGAGGAGCTCACTCTAAGGAGATATGTCTTTTGATAATGGGATTAATAATTTTACCGAAAGTTATTGTGTTATTGACCTTGAAGATTGATAGAATACTGCTATCTAGAATCACTAATGAATTCAATATTCTTTTATTCTACCGTCACCGGTGCTAAAGCATTACTCATATTAGCATAACTATAAATACACTGGATAGGGTCGTTGGCACTATATACAGTCCAAAGTCCAACATTTAAGCTTTATTGGCATTACTTTCAGTAGTATAAAAATAGACATAACCTTAAGGAATTAGACATGAATTAATCTGTCTTCAAGGTAAACATTTCATTATTAAGGAGGTGACATTAATTCGTAAGTATTAATAAATTTAAATCTTCCCTTCAATCTGTGGGCCTTCGAAACGAATATAATCATACATGATCCCCTGGAAAGGGCCTGTGGCGTTTGCTTGTGTCAAATAAATTGTGTTGTTCCCTTGAACGAGTAGAGTACCCCTTATGTCGATATTAAAGAGCCAATAGAGACCATGAATCCCATGTCTGGCTATTGCGTTATCACTTCCTATTATTCCACTCGAAAATAGTGGCGGGTTTTGGTCTGAAATATTCACTCGTACCTACAAATGTTCATAAATAGCATTATTCATCATCGTCAATATATGTTATAATTCGGCTTGATAAGATGAAACATGCAAGTGCTGACCTCTAATTCGGCTTGAGCTGCAGATGCAAGAGCCAATCTCAATTTATACGTTCCACTTGGGTTGATCATGTCTAGATTAAACTTAATCTGCCATGTAGTGCCTTGGTATGTTTTCTCATCATTTTTCCTGAAAGACATAAAATCTTCCAACTCAATGCTTCTGTTTGATGCAAGAAGAATGTTATGTTTGTGAGTAAAATTCCACGTAATTTGGAAGTTTGAATCATAAAGGAAGCCTAGACAAAGTTGGTTTGGAAGTTCGGTTTGATAAATCAAATTTCATTCATGGATTAAGATTTTGATTGGGATGAGGACTTTGGAATGGATAAGGACTTTACTTCATCCATAACTCCAAGATTTGGCTCCTATAAATACTCCACAAGGTGTAAGCTTTTCAAAGACTCAAGATATCAATTAGATCATTGTCGTATACATTAGAAACTTGAAAGAATGTGTACATTTAGATAGAGAGAATCGAATCTTGTAAAGACAATTTTAGTTTTTTGATATAATAAATTCTCCTCATCTTTCACAATAATCTTGTTTGTGGTGTGATCCATTATTTTTATATAGTCCATATTTTCTCATCTTTAATTATTTGTCCGGATTCTCAACAAAGTGGTATCAGAGCGATTCTAGTATCTCGGTTGGTTCATAACAAGTGGTATCAGAGCCAATATTTTTTGGCAGTTCTTGGGAGGTCCAAAGTGGTTATTAAAGCGAGGTTTAAACAATGTCGATTGTTTCGGGAATATCAACTATGAAATTTGAAATTTAGATTTTGGAACGCGTTAGTAGATTTTATTTGTGGCAAATCAAGATGCGACCGATTCTTGCTCAATTGAATCTTGATGATGCTTTGTTGGGGATAGATAGAATGCCAAAAACAATGATTGTAAAGAAGAAGCAACGGAAAGATCGGAAAGCTCTATCACAAATACATCTTCATTTTTCTATTCAAATTCTTCAAGATGTGGTAAAGGAGAAAAGTGTCTCTGTGTTTTGATTAAAATTGGAGCGGCTTTGTATGACGAAGAGTTTGAAAAGTAAGTTACACTTGAAGCAGCGCTTGTATTCACATCGCTTGATGGAAGGTAGATATTTGGAAGATTATTTATTAGGGTTCAAGAAAATTGTCTCTGACTTGGAAATCATGGAGGTCAAATATGATGAAAAGGATTTAAGTTGACGTTGTTATATTCGTTGTCGTCTTCATATATGACCTTTAGAGATACCATCTCTATAGTCGGGATACTCTTACTATTGACGAGGTATATGATGTGCTTTATTTTATGGAGAAGATGAAGCATCTGGTCATCGATTTTGAGGCCCAAGCAAATGGTCTTGTTGTTCGTGAGATGAAGGCAGGTGGTCATTGAAGGGGCAGAGTCAAGGATAGAAATAGTGATAAAGTCTGTAGGTAGTGCAACAACAATGAGTACATGAAGAAAGATTGCTATAAGTGGCGGAATATGTTTGGTATTATAGATCAGAAGGAACAACCAGAAAACTCCGATAACGTCAATCTTGTAGAAGAAGACAGTGATGGAGATCTTTTGGCGATTAATGACGAGGATTGGATTCTTTATTCGACATGCACTTTTCATATGTGTTCAAAACGAGATTGGTTTTCTTCATATGAAACAGTTACAAGGGGTTCCATGATGATGAAAATAATGAGCCTTGTAAAATAGTTGAGATTGGTAATGTCAAAATGATATTTGATGGGACGGTTAGAATAGCTGGTCAAGTTCGACATGTTCCAAGTATAAATAGGAATGTAATATCTTTGAGTACTCTTGATTAAAAAAGGTACATGTATATCGGTGGATGTGGAGTTCTGAAAGTTAGCAGGAGTGCTCAGGTTGTGTTTAAGGGACGAAGAAAGTCCAGATTATATGTGTTAGAAGGTTTGGCATCACTGTGAATACAACTGTATCTTATGGTTCAATAAGCAATAAATGGTGTAGAGTTGGCTGTGATCAGGTTGTTCGTGGTGATATGAACAATGATACTGGGGAATCTTCCAATAGCTCAGGTGTTGATCATGTTGCTCGTAGTGATTCGAATAGGTTTGGTAACTCAGGTAGAGTTGGTGTTGGTCATGGTGACTCGAGCAGGTTTGATGACTGGCTGGAGCTAGTGATGAACAAGATGATTCAACCAAGGACGGCGTACAAAGTAGTTCTGCTGGTAAGCAAGGGTTGAATTTAGTTTACAGTTGCTGAGTATGCCTAGCAAGGGTATGGGGTGTCTGGAATGGGCATGGTAGAAGAGTTGGAAAATGACTTGAAGAGTGAAGACTTAATTCCTTGTTACGGAATTTGTGTCAAGGTAAAGTTTGTTATGTTTGTGACTCAAATTCCATGTGATTTGGAAGTTTGACTCATGAAGAAAGCCTAGATAATGTTGGTATGGAAGTTCGGTTTGATAAATGATCAAATTTCATCATGGATTAAGAGTTTGATAGGGATAAAGACTTTGGAATATATAAGGACTTTGGATTAAGGGCTCTACTTCATCCATAACTCCAAGATTTGGCTCCTGTAAATACTCCACGTTGGAACTCTTAGCTAATTGGTTTAGCTAATAAGTCACTCAGATTACATGCAAGGATGGCACCATATTTTTGACGATGCTCTATCACGGCTTAGTTAAAATCAATTGCACCAGAACTACCTTCAGTGTTCCCTCTCTTGCTGCAGGACCTAGTGTTCTCTCCTTAATTTATGAATCACCATTGATTCCTCTCTTACACTTGTACAACTGAGATTATAGATCTAGAACATTCCTCACTTGTATAAATTTCATTTTCATCCTCATTGTAAAATAGATTTCAGCTGATAAAATATAATTATCTTCTTCAAAGTTTAACTTGGTATCAGAGCAAATGACAAACGCCAACACTTCTGAAGCTAACAGCCCACAAACCCGTTCAACCTCAAATTCAAACACAGTGTATCTCCAATGCAGGGAGGTAACCACTTCACTCCGTTTGGTACGAGTCTTACTCAAACCCCCTCTATCAAACTCGACAAAGATAACTATCTTCTATTGAAGAACATGATTCTTCCCATCATCTGAGGTCACAATCTGGAAGGATACTTACTGGGAACTAAGGTGTCCATCAGAATTTATCAGCACACAAGTTACTGGATAATCATGGATTAGTGTAGAGATGACATCTAATCTGGAATTCAATCATTGGAAATCTATTGATTAACTGCTCATGGGATGGCTCTATGCAACAATGACTCAAGAAATTGCACTAAGAGTAATGGGGTCAACAAGCTCACATCAACTGTGGACTGCTATCAATGATAGCTATGACATTCTAAATAAATCGAGAATTACGTTTCTTATTGGTGAACTTCAGAAAACCAGAAAGGATAACCTGAGTATTGATCAATACTTAAGCAAGGTAAAACTTCTTGCCAGTGATCTCGTAGTTGCTGGAAAAGCTGTACCACTTCCTAATTTGATAAGCCAAATTTTGGCTGGTCTAGATGAAGAATATACGCCCATTGTTGTACAAATCAACAACAGGGATTCTATATCTTGGGAGGAAATTCAATCTACTCTCGTGACTTTTGAGAGTAGGCTTGATCACATTAATGCTATTAAACATGAAATGGAAGGTATCAATCTGAGTCAATCATCTGCAAATTTCATTCAATAGGCCTTTAACAATAACTACTCATGTAGAAACTACAACTTCTATAATGGTGGAAGATCACAATATAGTGGTTACTATAGAGGTGGTAGAAGAGGAGACAGGAACAGAGGCAGAACTAATTTCCTACCTACATGTCAAGTATGTGGAAATATTGGACATAAGGCACATATCTGTAATTAGAGCTATAACGGACCCTCAGCACTTCATCAGAACAACTTAAAAAATACCCCCCATCAGCCTTCGTTGCCTCGCCAGAAACACTCAATGATCCAGCATGGTTTGCTGATATAGGAGCCAGTAATCATGTCACCTCAAGTGCAAAACACCTCAGTCAAGCCAGTAAGTACTTTGGTAAGGAGAGAATTATGGTTGGCAATGGAATCAAACTTAACATTTCACACATAGGCACAACAAAAATACCAACTATGACTGTTAAACATCTGGTTTTAGATAAATTACTGTATGTGCCAGAGATTAAGAAAAATCTTATAAGTGTTTCACAACTCACCCTGATAATCACGTGTTTATGGAATTTCACTCTAACTATTGTTGTGTTAAGGAGAAACCAACGAGGAAAACGATGCTGCAAGGAAGGCTTCAAGAAGGATTGTATTAGATGGAACCTCCAAACACCTATCCTAACTCTCAGTCAAGGTCTCAAAATCCAGTATTTCAGAATAATCTCTACAATTTAGCGTGTCTAGTTGAGTCTTGTGAAGTTAAGAGTCATGAGTCCCTAAATCCCCTATTTGATGTCTGGCACAGAAGACTCGGACACCCATCTAGTCAGGTGGTATCACAAGTTCTCAAAAGTTGTAATCAGAAAGTTAATGAACTCAAGTCTTTTTGTGATGCCTGTCAGTATGGAAAATCCCATTTATTACCCATCAATACATCAAACACACATGCCGAAGTTCCTTTAGAACTCATTCACACAGATGTATGGGGACACTCACCCATTCTCTCAACCTCTGGCTTCAAATATTACATAGCATTCGTTGATGATTTCAGTAGATATACCTAGATATACCCAATGAAAAACAAATCAGACTTCTTGAATATCTTCATTCAATTTCAAAAGCTTGTTGAAAATAAGTTTGACAAGAAAATTAAAATCCTCCAATCTGACTGGGGAGGAGAATATAGAAGCTTTGCCAATTATCTTTCATAATCAGGAATTGATTTTAGACATTTGTGTCCACACACACCAGCCCAAAATGGAAGGGTTGAAAGAAAACACCATCATATCACAGAAACCGGCCTAACCTTACTAGGAGCCAAAATACCACTATGATACTGGTGGGAAGCATTTCAAACTGCTACTTTTCTCATTAATAGAATGCCCTCACATGTACTTCAAATGAAATCTCCTTATCAAGATTTGCACAACAAAGAGACTGACTACACATTCCTAAAAACCTTTAGATGCACATGCTATCCCTGCCTAAGACCTTACCAAAGACACACATTCAGCTTTCACTCAATCAAGTGTGTTTTCCTAGGCTACAGCTCATCCCATAAAAGCTACAAGTGTCTCAGTCCTACTGGCCAAATATACATATCTAGACATGTAGTATTCAATGAATCTGAATTTCCTTTCGAGCCAAACTTCCTTACCAAATCCAATAAACAAACCATGGTATCCTACTCTCAGTTACCATCTGAATACTTCAATTCCCTCACTGGAAATAACTCAGCTGATGCAATTCCTTCTGAAGCTGCACCATCAGTAGAGTTACCTTCTGATTAACATTGCAACTGAAAGAGAAATTTCCAATAACCAATCTGAATTTGAGCCAAATGGTGAATCAACTGACAATGAAGATGCTGAAGTAAGAGATCAAAATATCAGTGAAATCCAAGCCCATCAGAAAACGAAAATGAAAGGAAAAGAACAGGCCACTCAATGATAACAAGAGAAAAGGCTGGTATCTTCAAACTCAAAGTCTTCTATGGCCAAGCAATACAAGATAAACCAAGTGAAACTGAGCCTAAAAATCTTGCTGAGGCCAAGAAAGATGAGAATTGGAAGAAAGCTATGATTGAAGAGTACAATACACTTGTTAAGAATAAAACTTGGAGGTTAGTGCCTTCATCTTCATCCTACAACATAGTGGGAAACAAATGGGTGTTCAGATTGAAACAAAATTCTAATGGATCCTTCCAAAGGTTCAAAGCAAGGTTAGTTGCAAAGGGTTTTCATCAAACTCCAGGGGTCGACTTCCATGAAACCTTCAGTCCAGTTTTGAAGGCACCTACACTGAGAATCATACTCACTCTAGTAGTCTCAAATGATTGGAAAATAAGGTAAGTGGATATCAATAATGCATTTCTTAATGGGGAATTGGAGGAAACCATTTATATGAGCCAACCAAAATGCTTCATTGATAAAACAAAGCTAAATCATATCTGCAAACTTGATAAAGCTTTGTATAGAATCAAGCAAGTACCAAGGGCTTGGAATGACAAACTGAAAAACACCTTAATTGACTGGAAGTTCAATCAGTCTAGAGCAGATTTCTCTCTATTCTATTTGACAACAACAAAGGATATCATCTTCATACTCATCTATGTGGATGATATAATAATTACTGGTAACAATGGTGACCTACTGCAAAGATTCATAAATGAACCGCACAGGAAATTTGCACTCAAGGATATGGGTGAGCTCCATTATTTCTTAGGTATAGAAGTTCACAGGCATAGTGCATGGATTCACCTGATTCAATCACAATATATATATCCGATTTACTCGAGAAATTTGACCTTCAGAACATCAAATCATGTCCTACTCCTAGCGATGTTGGGAAAATAATGTCCAAAACCGAAGGTGAACCCTTAAAGAATCCATCAATCTACAGAAGCGCATTGGGGGCCTACAATATTTATCACATACCAGGCTAGACATAACTTTTGCTGTCAACAAACTCAGCCAATTCTTGCAGGAACCAATCTCAGTGCACTGGCAAGCTATGGAGAGAGTCTTAATGTACTTAAAAGGCACAATCAATCAAGGGTTATGGATCAAAAAAAGTGAATATTTGATGATAACTGGTTACTCGGATGCAGACTGGGCATCCTGTCCAGACAATAGAAGATCAGTGGCAGCCTATTGCATCTACCTGAGAGATAGCTTAGTATCTTGGTCGTCTAAGAAGCAACATGTCGTCGCAAGATCAAGTAAAGAAGAAGAGTATAGAGCCTCAGCCTCTGCCGCGTCTGAAATAGCATGGATACAATCTATGTTTAAGAACTCAAGCTACAACCTACCTCACATTCGATCATTTGGTGTGATAATCTAAGCGCTGGAGCCTTAGCAGCCAACCTTGTATTTCATGCTAGAACAAAACACATATAACTAGATGTTCACTTCATAAGGGACAAAGTTCTTGCAAGAGAACTAGAAGTAAAATATGACTAAAGGCATCTCCCACTCAAGATTTGCATATCTAAAAGACAAGCTTGGAGTGTCAATAGCCCCCTCCAACTTGAGGGAGGGTGTTGGAACTCTTAGCTAATTGGTTTAGCTAATAAGTCACTCAGATTACATGCAAGGATGGTACCATATTTTTGATGATGCTCTATCACGGCTTAGTTAAAATCAGTTGCACCAGAACTACCTTCAGTGCTCCCTCTCTTGCTGCAGGACCACCTAGTGTCTCTTCTTAATTTATGGACCACCATTGATTCCGCTCTTACACTTGTACAACTGAGATTATAGATCTAGAACATTCTTCACTTGTATAAATTTCGTTTTCATCTTCATTGTAAAATAGATTTCAGCTGATAAAATATAATTATCTTCTTCAAAGTTTAACTCTCCGCAAGGTGTAAGCTCTTTATAGACTCAAGATAACAATTAGATCATCGTTGTATATATTAAAAACTTGAAAGAATTGTTTGGTTTTAGACTGAGGAATCAAATTTTGTGAAGAAAATATTAGTTTCTTGGTCTAATAAATTCTCCTCCTCTTCCACAATAATCTTGTTTATTGTATGATCCATTGTTTTCTCTTTATCCATATTTTCCAGTATTTAATGATTTGTCCGAATCCTCAACAAAAATGGTATCAGAGCGATTATGGTATCATGGATGGTTAATAACAAAGAGCAATGGGGTTGAGGCTCTCATCAGCAAGGTTAGGTTTTCCGGCTAAAGACGAGAGAAACAGTGATCTCAAGTAGCAGAGCATTATTCCCAATAGACGCAGTATTATTGAAGAGAAATAACAAGGATAAAAGGTAAGCCTTAGGCTTAGGAGTTTCTAGTTTTCTCTGCTTTTCAAAATATCTACATGCAGCATCACTAATCAGGTATATATAGGAAAATAGTTAGACATTTCCCATAACATGATTATATTCCAAAACAGATTTCATTTTCAGTAATTTTAAGATAATTAGAAATTATGTTAACCTGGTAACTTGTGCAAAAAACCAATCTTTCGTGTAATCGCTCTGACCAATCGTATAGACCAAATCACCGTTAGGATACAACTCCGTGTATCTTTCCCATAATCCATACTGTCTAAACCTGATGATACGATACACATCAACAAGAGAATTACTCCCAGGTTTTAGAAAACGAGAACAGACACTAAGGCCCCGTTCGGGAGGGATTATAAGTCAATTAAAATTGAAAATATGGCCGTTATTGGGCCCCACTCGTCTAATAAAAGTCAACAATAACGGCTATATTTTCAATTTTAATCTGATTTTAATCCCTCCCACACAAGCCCTAAAATAACAAGCTAAACCTTATTCTCAATAACTTTTGGATCGGCTACATGACGTAAAATGTTACAAGGAATTCTAACCTGTCGGGATGATTGACATAAAGTTTGTTGATATACTTATCGTTGGGATCTGGGATGTAAAATTCTCTAGCAGAACGATCAGGGATGCCGATTTCCCACAAGGTTGGTCCATTTCTCGGGGGCTCATAGACAAGGTTGCCAATATCAATGAAGCAACCTAATTAACAAGTATTCAGTTTTGGATAGACGAGGAACAAACTGATCAAAAGATAGGCAAATGTTGGAGAAGAAGAACCTGATGTTATGGTAATAGAATCATTATTTAAATAATCTCCTATGAATCCCGGTACCCATGCATAGAGACTATAGTCCCCGGTACGGATGTCATTTATGGAAAAATAGCCTTCTTCATCTGCTCTTGTCCAGAATTGATAGTCCTGCAACAAAACAGTAGGCATTTGTTAAATGTCGTACCAAAAGCTAAGCTAATTACTTAACACCAAATCTACAACTAGTAATGCTCCTCTAGCCCTCTTAAATCTCTTAATGCCCCGTTTGGCAACTTAAGAGACGTTGAAATGAAAAATCGGCTCATCCAACATTTTAGGAACCGTAATATGAAAGTTTTCTATGATTGAGTTAGTACATGAAGTACTTTCTGGATCTAGCAAATCGACAACTTCGAATGGCAACTATGAACAAGAGGTTACTAGTCCTGTAAACACTGGCAAAGATATTACTCCAACAATGATTGTAAATATTCTAAAGGGTCATACAGGAGGACATGAATAACAGTGAATCACGTCGATCCACCATCTAATTCAGGTGGGGCGAGGACCTTACTTAGGGCAGGTGCAGATATCTTCGTTCCAACTGCACACAACTTTCAATATGCAGGAGTTGCAGTTGAGTATATGCATGAGAGATTTGTTAAGATAAAGTAAATATTACTTCATGACTACGAAACAAGTCAATTCTTCTCCATTAAGAAAACAAGCAACAAGAAGGCAAATTGAAATTG